GAAGGAGTGAAAATGCTTATAAATTATACAAGAGTCAACTAATTGGATTCGATTATTCATCACTCCGCCCTTGGGGTGGATAAACCTGGGATTTGCATGAATTTTCCCACCCGTCGAAGCTGTTTATCAAGATAAATATTCAAAACAACTGCGGTGAAAATCAAAGCAGCAGAAAATCCTCAAAAAACGCGAAATATCGAATGTTTGTACAACTAATGAACCTTCAATTGGATTAATTATGAACACATTTGGCCGAATGTTTGTAGATAAATTTCTGACAAATTTGGCTTGCCGTTTCGCAATTAATGGGACAGCTGATCTAATAAATTACCTGACCCTTGATTTGCACGCCATATAATGGTGGGCATGTGCAAACAAATAACTGATTGTTTGCACCTATCGATTCGAGTTGTGAAATTTTGTCGTATTTCACCAGGTACTATTGCAATGACTAACAGCATTCTATTTCACACCGATAAATCTTTTGATGAATGAAGTGCCTTGCTGCCCACGTAACCGAAACAACGCTGAAATATTTGCATATTTCAAAATCATATTTACGAGTCCGACTCCAATCAATTAGCGCATTAACATGCTTTTATTATGTATCACATTCAAATTGGGCAAATCGGCGGTAGCCACATTATGAAACTCGTTCTCGGCGCCATTACCAAAAAAAGGCGAGAAACACAAAAGTATTTTCTACGTGGGCGATCCCAAAGTGAGTGAGCAACGAGATTTGCGGCTCGTTAAGTATTATAACTTAATTAACTGCAAAGCGATTTGCGGAGATGCTTGAAAGGAAATCAAATATTTTTTCAGCTCATTGTTAAATGTTTACGGTAAATATTTAGCTGTATATTTTCGGTCCATTGCATAACTTGTTTTGTTTGCAGTTTTTCAAAGAGTGCAAAAATTTAATTTTCTTTTCGAGGCTTTTGTTATTGAAATCGCTGTATTCGACTTGGCCGATTAGTGCGTAAAACACTTTTACTTTTTTCGAGCCAAAGACAATGCCTCTTGTTATGTAAATTGATTTTCTCGGTTTTTATAGGCCTGGGGCTCGAACATATCGAACTTTATTTTTAGCCAGGGCTTATACCCCCCCATTGCCAATCAAGCGCAAGAGCAAAATGTATTAAAATCTCAGTGAAATTAATTAGGGTGCATCAGGGTCCGTCTGTAAAAAATAGAGGCAATATCTGGTGGATATGTTCGCTTTTGTGTAAACATTTGCATGCACATCAAAAGTAACTGTAACCGAATGTTAGTCTGGCCGGCAAAAAGTAACAAACAGCCAGCCGACAGGCAACAACAGCAGCAAAAGATCAAAATCATTTGAAAAATTGTTTGGCGAAATGGTAAGTCCAAATCGAAGATGGAAAATGTGTGCAGCTTGGAAAAAAAGGAGGGAAAAACGAGTGGCCGGCGGAAGAAACAAACCAACCACTCCCGGACGAATGCAGATGTTGCTGCCTGCTGTTGCTGCTGCTGTTGCTGTTGCTGCTGTTGATGTTGCTGTTGCAGTTTCTAAATGCCGCCGCGCACCAATTCACCGAGAGCCGAGCGCTGCAACAACGGCAACGAGAATGCAAACTTTGCATAATTTATGGCAATCAATTTCGCGTGAACATCAACACGGTTGCAATGCAAAAGATACAAAGCACCACCACGGCAACATTGCCGAGTTGAAAGCAAAAAAAAAAAATGGCGCAAAAGAAAAGAAATTGTGGCAACAAACAACGGACTGACTGCAAGCCATCCGTCTATCGAATGCCAGTATCAACTTATTTAGTTCTACTTAAATGTTTACTTTCATCAATTCGCAACGAATCGCCTCTTGACGCTCGGCCATTCGCCGCCAGCGGAGCAATGTCAATTGGCTGCGGATTGGATTGTCCGATGTTGCTTTTTGGTCACAAAACTGTAGCTGGTCAAAAGAGAGCTAGAGAGCTAGTCGCCCCAACAGGATGCCCGCCATCATCGTAGATACATTCACTTTGTGGAACGCTTTGGAAAAGTCATGCAAAAGCAAAGGCAGCCGACTCTTTGGAGTACGATTTCGCCTGGCCCTAATCTAATTGCCATCGCCTAACCCAATTGCCCAGTTCTCGAATTGCAATTTAGAACTTTCACTCGCAGCCTTGCCATCGCCGACCAACCCAACCACCCACAGAAAAAACAATGATTGTCTTGTACTTTCGAGAGGATGGATGGTGTTCTCCTGGCTCAAAATACATATCATTTTACATAATAAATTTAATGCCGAAGACTACAACAAATTGCAGCTTGTGTGGCGGCGATCCCCTTTGTCTTCGCTGACAGCTTGCAATTTGCTCATAGGAGCAGCAGCAGCAGGTGCCTGCCGCATTGTGTCTACTGTAGTTATCAAATAAATACTAAGCACTCAACTCTACTCTACTCCCATTCTGCTTGAGTGCCGTCTACACTAACGCGGCGTTATGCATTCACCGTTGCTTTTGGCCCACTTACCAACAACACTTACTTACAAAAAACTTAGCAAAAACAAAAAAAGTAGAGAGAAACAAAACTTAAACGAAAAACCAAGTTTTTCCTGATTTATGTCCGAACAAATTGTGTGTTGGCTGCGGCGGTTTCCTTATACGACATGATTTAAGTGAATTATGCTGTGATTTTGATATGAATTTTTAACGCTCTTAACAAATGAAAACGGTGCTGTCCGATTAGGATCAGGGATATGCGCAGAGGTTACAATCTGTTGACTTCCTTCGGTTATTAATTTCTCCACTTATACGCTTTCCCGACTGATTAACCCCCATCTGTGTGAGGTTAAAATCCGCCAACTTTTACGAACCGCATCGTTTACAGTTGGCATCCGCTGCACGCAACAGATGGAAATAGATGGGAAATTGTGAAAGAGTTTTAATCAAAGTGGGAACGCTGGCCGCTCTCCGTTTGATATCTTTCTCGCGGCTGCCTTGACACGCAATTGAAGTGAGGAGCAGCAGCAGCAGCCCCTCCGATCGAGGGCCAAAAATAAATCTCGAAGAGATTCTTCATTTCGAAATGTCTTTGGGGGAAATTGGGGCCAAAAGCGTGGCAGTCGAGATGAAAATCCATGCGTGCACTTGACGCCGCTGAACCCACAAATTGGTGGTGTCATTAGGCAGATATTGATTTGAATTTATTGGCAATTCAATTAACTCTAACCGAATGATCGAGGGAGCTGGCTTTCAATTATTTTTCTTTTTTTATCGATAGGAAGGAGTGAAGTGAGTGAAGTTCTGCTGCTGAAGCTGCTGCAGCCCATTAATTGTCTGGCGGCAGCTGGCGCATTACAATGCGGAAATGCAATCGAATCGAATGGATCCGAATGGAATGGAATCGAACCGAACCGAACGCACTTCACACGCAAATAAACAGGCCGTTGTTGGTCTGGAGTTTATCTCCGGGATGCACGGCAGCAATTTATTCTTCATCGCGGGGTGAAGAAAGTGAATAGTGAATAGTAAATAGGGAACGGCAAAAGGCGAATGGCGAGCAGTTATGCAAATCAGCAGGTAGTCCCCGGAAAGGTAGAAAAACAGACCCACAGGTCGGTCGTTCACCGCCACAAGTATCCATGAGATACGCGCAACTCGCATGCAATTTGCGGCATTAGAATATGCGCACATGAATAGATAGAAATGCAAGGCAAAAGCAAAGGATTCCTGTGGCTGTTGCGTTGCTGGTGCATTGAATGCAGAAGATTTCCATTTAACCGCAGCTTTTTGTGTGCTTTCATTAGACAACTGAAATATAATTGCAAGTAAGGGTAGCGAAAGAGCAGTGACTGTCTTTGTTGGCGATGGGAAAGCTGGGGAAAATAATGGCAACAAATAACCGAATAATACCCGTGAAACACAATAAACACACACGGGCAAAGAAATGTGTAAATATCACTTAAAAATGAAAATGAAAGTGAAACCGTTTTCATTCATCCATTCAGACGTATCTGAAAAATAGATGAGAAAGTTCAATTCAGCACGAGAAAGAGTTGTCAATTCATTCAGAAACGCCGGGTGTCACTTTGATTACAATTTCCATTTCCCTTCGATTTGTGCACTTATCCATCTAGATGGCCGTGTACTTTTCAGTCCCAATGTCACCGTTGATTGCATAATCATCTGACCGTCACTAATTCCTACGTAATTGGAAAGCGATAATGTCAAAGTCTTTGCCTCGCCGATCGTGCTTGGGGCCCTCCCATCGTATGCATCGCATCATATGCACCACATCTGTTGCAACTTATTAATTTTTGGGGCCAACAACCGTTCCGAGTTGTAAACGAAATGCCCAAATAAAAAAACAGAAAGAAAAAAACACCCCACACAAAGCCGCTTACACTCTTAAGTGTTGGGCCGAAACTGAAACTAAACGCTATTAATTTTTACACACGGTTTCACTGCAGTTCGAATGCGTTTTTCATGAGCTCGCGGCTCTGAATTTTATAGCTCCCAGCTAAGCTGCAGTGGCAATGGGTTTGGATTTGAGTCAGGTCTGGTGTGGTCTGCTCTCGTCTGGGCCATTGTTTTGCAATTTTGTTTTTATTTTAGCCCAGAAAGCGAGAGAAAGAGAGAGGGGGATGCGGTGGCACGATGATGATAATGAATGATGCGCCGAGCAACCGAACCGCCACAATACCTATTGAGTAATTACAAAAATTTTAAAGTTTAATTAAAATTGTGTAAATAATCGTATTTGTTTGGCTTTGTTACCGCAGGCGGGTGTTACTCTTGCGAAAATGAAAGTGCCATTAAATTTTGATGCTCAATTGTGGGAACAACAAGAGTCTTTTGAAGAGCTCACCGTTTCACACTTGACGAGTTTCAATAACTTGACATGAAAAGCAGAAGTAACTGGATAGTTTTACCGGTAATTGCTTGAAGAAAAACTTATTTTTTGCCATTATATACTGTGCTATACCTATATCCTCACTACTTTGCTGGGTAACTAATCTATTTATTTATGCCACTCACCTTGTAAACCTCCGAGAAGAATCCCGATCCGATTTTCTCCTTGACGAAGTCATCCACGGAATATAATGCTGAGACGGCGGTTCGAAGTGCCCGACAAGAGCTGCCGGTGACCAGGCGATCGGATGATATGGTCCTTGTCACTGGAGCCGGCGGCAGACCGTTTCCGATCCAACCGCCATTGTGGAGCGGCTGATGCTTCGCCGAAGCTTCGGCGTTGATGCCGTCTCCATTGGAAACGGTGGCCCCTGCACCTTTGTACGCCGCACTCGCCGGTGGTGTTGGTGTGCTAATGGTGCCGCACATACCCGCTGTGCTGGGCCAGACGAAGGGGGAGTCCCGGGAGGAGTCCACCTGGTCCACGGACAGGGTGCACATCTCCAACGGCGGTCCGGGTCCACTGTGCTGATTCAGGCTCATGTTTATCAGCTACGACGTATGTTGCTGTCGTATCCGGATGTGTGTGTAGAGTTGGTTTGCGTTTGGCGTTGGACGACCTTGCGTTGCCTGCTTGTGGCTGGGATCTCTGCCGATCGAGCTGGATCTCTGTGTGTGTATTGGCTGATGCTGGAGCTCTTGGCTACAACATTCTATCGTCCATGATAACACAATATTTGGCGGGTTAACGCGACGGTTAGACGGGCACGCTTTTATTTACGGATGCTATTTTATTGTTTATTTATGGAACGCAGCACGAAACATTTATCGGACACATAGGCCCGAGTTGACAACTTTCAAAATTTTGAAAACGATAAAAAAAATTGTTTGCTAAAATTAACTATCAATCACTGTTTGTTGTTTGCTTCGTAGAATCTTGTGTACTTAGTTGGTTGTTTATTATCGATGTTTGGAATGTTTTGGATTGTTTTTTCGATTCTTGGCACGTTGCAGTTGTGGAAGCTGCACTGGAAGCGCTCGCAGTTGGAAGTCTGAAAAAATGCAAGGTATACAAGTTAATATATTTCAATCTCGTCGCTCTAATGAAATGCAAATAAGGACGTTTATATATAGGTATATTTTTGTTCGAAAAGCCAACGAAGCGATGCGCGTGATCAACATTTCTGTGTTTATTCTTTTTGGGCGATACCGAGTTGAGCAGAAAGCCGATTACGGTAAAAAAAAAATTCCGAGTTGAGCAGAAACGATTTTTGGACATAAAAAATGAACGTCCGAGTTGAGCAGAAACCCGATTACGGTAAAAAAAAAAAAAAACATCCGAGTTGCGCATGAACGCCTTTTCCACATAAAAAACCAATGTCAGAGATGCCACAAAATCATTATTAATTAAATAATTTAGTTTTTCAAAAAAATGGTTCTTTTTTCAGTTTTCAGTTTAGTTTTTTTTTTTGAAAAATTACTTAATAATCATATAGCATATGTATCAATGCAAAAGTGCGCGCGCACTTATGCATTGATACATATGCTATATGATTATTAAGTAATTATTCAAAAAAAAGGTTATGTTTTCTGTTTTTAGTTTTTTTTTTTTTTTAGAAAAATTACTTAATAATCATATAGCATATGTATCAATGCAAAAGTGCGCGCGCACATTTGCATTGATACATATGCTATATGATTATTAAGTAATTTTTCTAAAAAAAAAAGGATATTTTTTCAGTTTTTTATTTAGTTTTTTTTTTTTTAATTACTTAATAATCATATATGATATATGATTATTAAGTAATAATTATTTTCAAATAAATGAATAATAAATATGTAATAATTATATGAATAAGTAATGATTTTGACGCATCTCTGACATTGATTTTGCCCAACTCGGATGTTTTTTTTTTTACCGTTATCGGTTTTATGCTCAACTCGGACGTTCATTTTTTATGTTCAAAAATCGTTTCTGCTCAACTCGGATGTTCATTTTTTATGTCCAAAAATCGTTTCTGCTCAACTCGGACAATTTTTTTCAATTTTCTGCTCAACTCGGCTAGCCCCTTCTTTTTTTATGGGGTGCAAATTAAAATACTTCAAAGAATTCGCCTTATTTTCTGTTGTCACGCGCAGCAGAAAGTAATACCCAAGTGCCAGCAATAAATTCTCGAAAGCAGGAACTCGAGATATTTGCAAAATTAAAGGGAACAGAAAACCTAAAAGCCTAAAGCCTCAGAATACATTTTTCTAAGCAATTCTATGTTTAATTTTGGCAAGATTAAAGGCAGATAAAACATTTTTTCAAGGAAATATTAAACAAATCATCAGATAAGGGTACAAATAAATCGGTGCTCTATTTATCATCGCAACAGTGTTGTTGGTTATTCCAGTTTTCGTAGACATTTCTGATTAGCACACAACAAAAAAAAACATCCCAAACTAACAAGAATGAATTAATTGACCCTGCTTGAATTTGCTAATAAATATTCAGGGTCAAAGTCGACTCCATTGGCAAAGTTGTGCTTATCAGCCGGACTCTTGAGGTGATAGCCACAACCACCAGTTACTTTATATACAGGTTTTGTTGCGGCTTGATAACAACGACTTTTCAAGTGCGATAAAACACACGAACATTCATTTTCACAAATGTACTGACTTCTTTTCTGCTTTTGCTTTTTTTTTTTTTTTTGTTCCGAACAAACAATGTAATTTAGCAGCAATTCGGTTATCATTTCGCTGACTTTTGTCGTGATTTGTTTTCGTTGCTCCGCCGGAGGTTTGAGGGGGCAAATGAGTTCAGTTCATCAGCAAATAAGTGAGATAAACACGATCACTGAAACCTTGGCAGCGAGCTTGAAAACTCGGAGTGGTTAAGTGGGTTGAAGGAGGTAAAATCCCCAAGGGAGGTCTCTAAAGGGCTTCACAATCGGAAAAACACCACCACCTACCTCGAAGCACTTGGTTGGTTCCACTCCAGAGATAAGTTTAGCAATGATATAACCAAATATTTTGCTGCCATAATACCGGAGAACAACGGCAACAGGTTGGAATTTTTTCGATTTGCCATTCCTTATCACAATGTAGCCATATATATTCGGCGATAAGATACAGAGAAATTAATTTTGGGCGACAAAATATAAAATCATCCAGCACAAATTGGGCTCGTAAAGGATCATGCGACAAAAGGCGATCATATCTGATAACGGAAAAGAGCCAGCTTACAATTAAAACTATAACAAAATAATTACACCAAATTTCGACATAATGATAATGATAGGGGCGAAGCGAGCACACAGCTCTCACTTTTCCGCTGGCCAAAGTCAAAATAAAACACAAATTACCAAGCACATTTTTGCAGTCGGCAAACGGGGAAGTTATGCGAATTGAGATTTGCTATTTGGCATTTTTTGTGTGTCTTTCCTACTTTGCGAAATCTGTCCAAACACAACACACAACGAGCCGCAGCCAAAGTCGATGTTAAAGCCGGCAGCAGGCCATAATTAGGGTCAATTGCGGCTAACCGCCGCCAATCGACGACAACGAAAGCTTTTGGCCAAATGAAGCGGCCGGGGAAAAAGTGCTACACTTCATTAGGCGCCATGACAAACGAAGAGTTTTGCAGCGGAAAGTGGGGCCGTGGCTCCGATTTAATAGCAGCCTGCCCCACGGTTACCTAAGGATCGGTTTCAGCCACGCCCCCGACGACAGTTGTCCAATTACCGGCAGGTCTTTGTCAAATTATCTCGTTTGGGCCATGAAATGGATACGTGCTATCTCCACGGCCAGTTGTGAAAGTTCCCATAAAACCTAATGAGTTGCAAAGTTAAATATTTTTGTAAAAAATAGTAAACATTAAGCTTTGATATCTTGGAGAAGAGCGCTATGGAAAGAGATAGTGTTGCCGATGGAGGGAAATCCATCCATCCATTCCGTGGCCCACAAAAATTAGTTTAGCACGCTCCGCAAACTAAGTCAAGGCCCCCAAGCAACGATTTTCGACTGCAAATCTATAGAGTCGAGAAAAACACTTAAGCAGACGGTTTTCTACGACCCTTTCAAAGGGGCATGCATAAATTTTCACATCACGTTCCAAACTATTTATCTCGTGTGGAAAACCAACGGCGAAACATCAAAATATTTATGTTTTAATAGGAATGCCAGCCAAACAAAGGTCAGTCGGCATCCGCGGTTGTTGCCAAACATATGGAAAATAGATGTTAAGCCCCACAACGGAATGCTGCAATCTGAAAACTCAGCAGCTTCACGAAGATGAAATGCCCTATGAGCAGGTAGCAGCTGAATTTAATGTAGAAATCTAAAAACAAAGCGAGCAAGAGGTGCCATAAATAAAGAACATTTAAAAAATATATATTTTAGGTTTGCGCAAGTTCAAATAAAAAACATTTCCCATAAGAACATATGTATAGTCAAACTTTTTTCTTCAAAAAGAGGGAAATTTAATTTACCCTAAGAGTTATTTTTAATTTCTAGAAACTATGCTGCAATTTTAAGAACCACTTTCATCAAATATTTACTGTATTAATCATACTAAATGAAGTTAATATTTTCAAATATTTGTTAGCCATAAATGCTTTTTGCAAAGTGTTTCTGGCCAGAGAAACCAATGAAATTAATTTCAGCACACCACTTATCTCCATTAGATTTTGATGGCGTTTGGAGGCATTCTCCAAATCGAATGTTAAACCGTTAACCGCCACAAGGTTCGAGTCAATAAACCGCTGCCGTCTGCGGTGACTCTGTTGCTGTGCGAGAGATCAAGTTGCATTTTTATGGGGCCAAGGGTCGTCGTGGCCACCATCACACCATCACCATCATCGCCATCAGCTTCATCATCACATCTTCGCCTACGTAGGCGCGTGCCTGGAGAATTGTGTGCAATACACACTCGGTTCGGTTCCAGCTGAGCCATTAAAGAGGCATAAATCTTGGTTATGAAATTGGAAATGATTTGCTCTGCAGACAACACGTTCAAGTAGGGAGCATAATGCCCCGAGAACTGATGCGTTCAGGAAGTGCGCCATAGCCCCTAGACCCCGAAAAAAGCGTTAATGAAAAGGAAAGTTGGTCAGCGGCACAAACAAAAAGTGCCACTTCATGCCCACCGCCGAGTAGAAAGAAAAACAAAGACGAGAAGACGGCGAAAAGAAGCCAAGGCAGCTAAAGAAGAAGAAATTTCTATAAACAAAGAGATGAGACGCAGAGCCAGAGCAAAATTATCAAAGAACAACAAAAAAAAAAAAAAAAGAAGTGGAAAATGGGACATGGCACACTCTTGGGCCCACAGAAACAACAACAAAGACTGAATGAAATTCATGTCGTTGTCGCGCTCATAAATTCTTCTACGCCTATATGCGCCCGGTATCGCTGACTATCTGAAAGATACACCCACACTCGGTGAAAAACTAGCAACTCATTCAACCGGGGAGGTGCTGCCTGCATCCGCTGTATGTGTCTATAGCCCAACTTATAAAAAAGAATCTATGTAAATTTGTGTATTTTGAATAAATTCCAAGCCCATCGAAGGTGTGAGGCTTTATCGTACTCTTTTTTTTTTTTTTGGGGCCCTAAAACAAGTGATTCATGCAACGAAATGGAAAGCGAGGAGAAATACACAAATCTATGTATACAAATTCATAGGCAAAGGAATGGAATGGAATGCAGGGTCAGAAAGCACAAGATAAGCTTAATTAGCCAACAAACAAGTTTCACTTTCTTCGGGTACAGAACGGTCGATTATAAGCTATTTCTGAATGTTCAACGATTACTGCGCCATTTAGGCATTTCAACTAATTGGCAGACATTTCGTTTTCGGGGGGTGGGAACTCACGTGCCGCCCATCGATCGGCACAAACTATCCACCCAAAATAAAACAACGTTGTCTGTCGCAAATGAACTTTAAGATCGAAGAAACCCAACTAGAACGACAACAAAAATGGGTTTATTTTCAGCCTCAAGTGCAAGTCCTATAAGAAGATCGGACAAAACAAAACACTTGATGAATGCAGCTAAAGAAGGTGCAAAAACCAAACAACAACAGAAGGGTGCGGAGAATGGGCACAAATGGTTTATTTTATTTTATTTATTTTTTCCCTCTATGCGGGCACAAGCGCACACACAAATGAAAACAAATTAGCTTGGGCAGCATTAACAGCCGGCTGCCGAGGGCGGAAGTACGGGGGAGTTTATTGTTAATTTTATAAACACCACGGAGGACCACTAACGGACAAATGAACAAAAAAAAAAAAAAAAACACCACAAAAATGCAGCAGTAGCAACAACCACCAAACCGGAAAAATCCCAATAGGGCAGCTGCATTTTTGTGGGAAACCCATAGCCAAGTGGAGGATGCATTCGGATTGGGAGCTATAGTTTCTCGATCTCTGCAATAACGAGCGCAACATCTGTCGCAGTTTTACGTGGAAATCCGACTTTCCGCCGAATCGGGGAAAAGGGAGAAACTGAGAAACGCTGAGGAAAAGAGCGAGAGATGGGAAAAACACAAACATCGGAAGCAACTTCATCATAACTTGCAAATGTGTTTGTGTTATTTTTACATTTCCGCTGCTTACGAAAATATTTACGCTCCCCTTCGCACCAGACCTTCCCCATTTCGAATCTTAAATTCCAGACGCTCGCACACACGCACGTGTTAGAGATGAGCGCAAGATTGAGTGCATCAAATGGTGCCAACAGGTTCGATTATAATGAATATGTAAATTTTTTAAGAGAAATATCTTAAGGGGTGGACAGGGAACAAATAGTTAAAATATGGTAATAATATTGGATTTGCCTTTACAAACGGATGTAATTTAACTCCCAAAACTAATGCACTAATGTTCTCAATAATTTGAGCTAACTAATTAATTAAAGCAAAATTAAACCAATATTTTTTTAATTTCAATTTTGTATATAAGCTATCACGATTTATAAGAAATTATAACTTTTTGTGCATCACAAATTTCTTTGCATACCTTACAACCCCGACTTTAAACGGAAGGAAACTTTTTGAAGGCACTGTGCGAAAGCTAAGGTCAGGCCCTCCATCTGTAGGCTGCTTCCGCACACGCATACGCATACAAACGATACGAAAATGCCACCGACAACAGTTCCACTAAATAACTAATCCACTAAATCTTGGATTTAACCGATTCCAACTAAAACTATTTATTTACCCGTTTGGTTTTGGCGACTTTTTCGCTCTCTCGCTGTTCTTATTGCCGTGTGGCCATAATCCAATTATGTGTGTATTTGTGTCTGCTCTCTATTGCAATTGCAGTTATTTGCCGTGGTATGCACCCACACACGCGCACTCTCACGCACCCGCAGACATTCAGTTGCGAACACCGAAAATCCTGAGCGTCAACAAAATAAATATAGCTCCGCGTTTTAAAATAGGTTTTCACTCGATTCTGCGTTTGCTGTCTCGTCTTGTTTATGTGCATTCGATGGTTGTGTGTACTTGTTTTTTTCTTGTTAGACGCGACGCTGCTGTCCATTCAACATTTCTCCGCCGACGCTGGGCGACACTTTTTATTTAAGCCGATTCACTTGCACTTTGGCTTTGGTTATAACCGATTATCCAGTCTGGAATGGAGCAAAAGACATGTTGGTTTCATTTATGTCTGCACTCGCGAAAAAGCGACCACAAATTAACAATTTTTTCGGGAGCGACGCGCAGCTAACGTCCGATTTTGTTTTCCGTCTCGATTAGAGTGACTGTTGCGTGATGGTAAGAAAAGGTTGAAGTTTTATGGTGCTAAAAAATACCACCATTGAGTGGTGGAGAACTTGGATAAATGAGACGTTAATCGATAATTCGGGCTATCGATATTAAAGTTTGTTTTTAAGTTAAATGCACAAGTTTAAGCTTATATAACAAGTTTCTGTGTTTTATTAAACAATTAAATGCTACTTTTTCTTGATGTACTTCATGTACTTCTTGGCATTGAAATTGTCCTCCACTTCCTCCATGATCTTGACCTTCTTGCGAGGTTTACGAGCTTCCAGACGAGCTCTGCGCTCGGCATCGGTTAAAGTGCTCAAATCCAAGGGAAGCTAATTAGTTGAAAAAGTAAATTAGTGATTAATCGACATGCTGGTTACCCATCTTACCTTTATAATCTTTCTGGGCTCATGGTAGCGAATGTTTATCGTAGATCCATCAGGTTGAACTACTACCGTGGGATAGAGCCGGCAATAAACGGAGCGATGTAGTCTGGTGACTGCCGTCGTGGCCGACGAAATGCATCGCAGCTGTTGCACAGCTTGCGGCAACTGTTTCAGTAACATTTTGATTGATAATCACAGTATGAATACAATTTTAGCTTAATTGAGCCGCACGCGAGTTGTTTTGTTACTTAACAGCTGATAGTATGACCAAATTTGATAGGATACCAGAGAAGTTATCGAATATCTTGCCGCCCTGGCACTTTATTGTATTGGGTGTTTGCCTTGATCTGGTTACACTCGTTCTCAAATAGTAAGTGTTGGTGCTCGGGTAGAAATTATTATTTTCTTAAATATATAAGTACGTTGCATAAAAGCTATCAAAAATAAGCAATAAAAGCAGGAAACTAGTTAAAACAAGTGATTAAACTGCAGTCCTAGCCAGAGGGGATAATAAGAAGAGTTTTGGTTTTAAGTATCCAAGAACTGCAGCGGAAAAAAAATTACATAATTTTGGCACGCATAATTTTTCGAGTGTTATGCCAAATGTTTTTACTGAAAAAAACAACTGAATAGACTTAAGCTAAGCACAATAGTTATGCAAACTTAAAATCGCTTCTTTTAAAACAGACACTATTTCCCCCTTGACAACCTAACCTCATCCATTCGCTTTTGTTGTTGTTTTCCAGCGCTAGTGGTTCAGAATGGCTGCCCGCCGCATCGCCCAATCCTCGATCAACTGGTCCGCTCTCGCCGAGCGAGTGCCCGCCAACCAGAAGAGCAGCTTCGGTGCCTTCAAGACCAAGTCGGACATCTATGTCCGCGCCGTCTTGGCCAACCCCGAATGCCCGCCTCAAATTGATTGGGCCAACTACAAGAAGCTGATCCCCGTTGCCGGTCTCGTGGACAACTTCCAGAAGCAGTATGAAGCCCTGAAGGTGCCCTATCCCCAGGACAAGGTCTCCCCCCAGGTGGATGCCGAGATCAAGGCTTCCCAGTCCGAGATCGATGCCTACAAGAAGGCCTCCGAGCAGCGCATCCAGAACTACCAGAAGGAGATCGCCCATCTGAAGTCGCTGCTGCCCTACGACCAGATGACCATGGAGGACTACCGTGACGCATTCCCCGAGAGCGCCCTCGACCCCCTCAACAAGCCCACCTTCTGGCCCCACACTCCAGAGGAGCAGGTCGGCTACAAGTCCAAGGAGCAGCTGGAAGCCGAGGCCCAGGGACACCATTAAAAAAATCGAAAAGGAGGACTCTGGCTTCGTTGGTCGTCTGTTGATTCGAAATGTAATCCACGTTGAAGTAAATCACCCAAATTAAATTCATTTCAATGAATGTTGTTTGCTTATTCAAGGATGATGGTGGTTATTGAGCGTTTTTGGAATTTTACTACAATTCTGGTCAAAGATCAATGTTGACTATCCTTAAACAATTTCGAATTCAGTTCTTTTAAGAATACAATTACCATCGATGAAATCTATGCGACTTCCAAATGGTGTTCAAGTTGGTTATGGACTTAAAAGTGTTTGGTTTAACTCACTTTACCAACAACCCGGTTTTTTTTTAAATCATTCAAATGTAGTTTTTTAAAACCGAGAAACACAAATTAAACGAACTTTAATCGGAATGAAATTAAGAATGTAATGGGCAGTTTTCAAAAAGGATTTACATTACAAAAATTTAAAAATAAATCCACTTAAACTAATGTTTAAAGTAGAATATATAAAGTTATATTTTGTGTGATAAAATCAAAATTATTTATTTTCATTATTTTAAAGTTTATTTTTGGGAAGAATGACAACGGCATCAATATAAACACATATTTACGGAAATGTTTGAATCAAAAATAAACTATTCAAGTTAATAAATTCATGAATCTTAACATTTATAGGATTTAAAGATTCCTTTTGGTTAAAGATGCTAACAACATATTTGTTTAAACAAAACACTAACTGTGATTTCAAAAATTCAAAAATCTGACCTTTTAATTATATGGAACATGAAATGTGCGCTCGCTAAGTCATTAGGGTGCATCCGCTAGGCTTGGATGGTGTATTCACTAGACTAATAGAATTAGGGGAAGGTGTATTCGCTAGGTTACGGGCCTTGCTAAGACGCCACCTATGTCTCGTTTTCACTAAGGCTTTCCTGTGGGCTTTTCAATATTGCCACCTATGTGAAATTTCTATTGCATTCTATTTAGTATATTGCCACGATCGCTTTAGTATATTTTTTAAATATCCTCTGGTGTTATTTAAAAGTTCGGTGACAGCCAGTCTGATTCGCGAGAGTTAATGAACGAGAGAGAGCCAAGCAGTGTGTACGTTCAAAAATCCGTTAAAAGCCCCAGCTAAAATCGTTTGATCCCTTTAACAATCGGGTGTCTCTTTCGACTTCTCTCAAAGGATTTACCAGCTTGCGAAATCTTTGTCCTTTGTTACCAGTTTTAGAAAACGCAGTCCTTGTTTTCTCGTTTGGAAAAACGTTGTCCAATGTATGTGAAGTTTCTGTTAACCAGTTTGAAAAAAGCGCCTCTAGCGGACGAAACTGTGTGCCAAATCTTTGACGAGACTACCTTATACTCAATCTACAGTGCTCTCGCTCACCTGAGCGCACCTTTCGCGCAGCCGCAGCGTGTCTTAACTTGTCTTGGAGGTGCACACTCACGAGTGGGACCGCAAAAGCGACACGATCAGTCGCGAGCGAAATTCACGATTGGGGCCCGCAGAAGCCGCACGATCAGTCGCGAGCGAATCGAGTTGGAGCAAACGTCTCAAGCGGAATCTCAAGTTGTAGCGCTAACCGCAGCGAACGGAGTGTATCTGTGCATCGCTGAAATACAAAGTTGAACCAAGTTGGAATTTGCCACCAGCAGTCGAAATACGTCTCGAATCGAATTAATACCCGCAATTTGCATAAGGCGCAACTAAGACGCGCTCTGTCAGTTAACCCACTTTCTAAACGACCAAACCAAAACAAGCCAAAAAGAATAATACTGCGACCGATATTCAGCAACAACGAAACCAATTAACAAGCAAATAATGCCGAGCAAATAACACCAAATAACGTGCAAGTGATTCATGTTTTTTTCTTCAAAGTGAAGTGCTTAGGTAAATCGAAGCTTAGAAGAAACAACAAAAAAAATAGTTGACTGGAAAACGCACTGGAAGCGTTAACGATACCTGGAACGCCCCCGACCAACGACTGTCAGTCAGTTGAAACCGCAACTGCAGCAGCAGCATCATCTACTCGGCTTAAAGGAAACACAACAACAACAACAAAGTACGGATTGCAAACAGACCGGGTAAGTTACACCATCCTACATCATCATCGCACTAAAACAACAACCATAATGGGGGTTCATAGCTCGCAGGGAGCCTTTTGCATTCCCTTTTCGCCGCTCTGCAAACGAGTTAACAAGACGCGGCTAAATTACAACGATCGATAGGCCCGCAAATACTCAACAGCCAAAGCGAGTTAGAACACAATGCCTGGAATTTTCAATACTGCGAATTCGATTTTCTTTGAATTAATTTTTTATAACTTACTAAACTTACTAAGGGATCACAAACAAAGTAATTACAAACTTTCCTAGCTTTTTTATCCTAACAACTTAAGGAGTGTTAAAACTATTTTATTGGAGTGAAAATAATTTAATGCCAGCCGCCATAACCATTAATAAACATTATGAATAATCCTAATGGTTAGGGATACAAAAAAAGTAATCCGATTCAAATGCACACATTCAATATTACTGTGGGTAATAACCGATAAGCATAATTTTTTGTGACTGGCCAAAATGAGTGATTTATCTATAAAAAATATCTTAATCCAAATCACTTTTAATAACTTTTACCATTTGCGGTAGCTCTATGTAAAACCACCAAATTAAGAATACCCTTGAAATGTGCGTGTATATAGAGGCCATAACCGATTCCCCGGAGCCCTCCAGTTTGGGGCATGCATTCCATATTTTATAATCCGCTGTCTGGCGGCATAACTTTGGCACCTTCGAACGCCTTCTCAGTTTCGCATTTCACCAGTGCACACAAACACTGCCATAACACTCGGAGGGGCTATAATTTCTTTGGATAATTATTACTCGTCTGGCATATTTTTTGTTGCTTGTTGGCTTAAAGCTGCTTTGACCGGCGCTGACTCTGTGAAATTTTTGCGTTAAAGCAACGATGTTTGCTGTTGGTGTTTTTGTTGCTTTTTGTGCGCTCGTTTGCATAAACACCTAGCGGATAATTCGGAGCGTATTTGACTTAATTTAAATAACTTACTTTTGGAAATTTCTGCAACTTTCCTTTAAGGTACGCAAAATAAAAAACGTGCAGCGGAAATGTGTACAAAAACAAACAGCCATTATTTATGTTATTCGATCTGGCCGTAGTTATTTTTCGGCAATATATCTGTAAACGGGTTCGGTTTCAGTTATAAAATAAATACGAGTTGCCTGGGAAGTCTTAGGAATGAAATCGGTAATTCGAGATGGTTTAGGTAACGAAAGCTTTGACCGATCTGCTAAGTGACAAAGCCTCTGGTTTAGATGACTCAAATCTGGTAAATATCTCTTACTGGAATTTCTAAGTGACTCAATGTTCTGCCAAGCGAAAGCACTTGGATGTATTTTTGTTGGTTTTTGGTGATATTTTTAGAAAACACGATTTGTAAGGGATGGTTTTTTTTCAAGTGATTGATAATTATAAACATATGTTCAGGGATTTAACATAATTTCCTAAATGTACACACTTTGACTAATTGATATTTAATTTTTGAATAGCGTTGAGGTTCATTATTCATTTTTATTTGTTGTTCTATGACTTGAGCTATTTCAAGATTATTGTTGTTAGCATTCAGATATAGAAATCAATATTAATTTAGATTCGATTTTGCTTTATCTTCAGCTGTTTCTCTATCCAACTTTTCATGCTGAAATTATTTTGTAGTATTTAGTAATATCTTTCTTGCAGTGGTTTTTATGATCTTAGCAGTTTTGTCGAAGCGCATTAGATGTTGGTTTCTTAATTTTCAAGCAACCGGGGCCTGTGAAACTTCTCCTGGATGTTGTTGCCCAACTCCAATCGAGACGTAACTCATAGCCAATCGCCATGAATGAAATTCGCATTTCATTACAGGCCGTCAACGCCTGAATGCGACGCAGCCGGTGGCCAACGGCCGGTTTTCGTGTGTGGTTTTCCCCTATCAACGACAATAGCTACGCACGTTCGCGAGCAGAAAAAAGAAATTGTCAATAAAGTGCAAAAGGAGACGGTCGGTCGGGCTGGCTGGGCAAAATAAAGAAAAAAAAACATAAAAAAGGCGAAAAGAAACAGAAATTGCCACAGAGAAACGTGTTGCAGCGCCACGGGGCTTGGTGGCCCATCCCAACCCAGCTCGAATCGAGTGCAATCGTGATACAAAGTGGCCAGCGCGGACAGGGGGCGACTGTAAATTCGTATTAACTATCCGCTAGATACCCGTACTTTCACAAAAACTCGTTCGAACAAATGGCACAAATATGAGCATTTTATTTGCCGCAGTTTTTTCGTTTTATGCAATTTTCTGAGATTTTTGTTGGAGTTTTTTTTTGTTTGTTCAAGCCTGGCGCATAGTTGCTTTATTAGCAACGTGCCAAACGCAAACAAACCAAGACAAGAAGGCAAGGCAAACAAAAGGCAGGCAAATCAACTGAGCAAACAAGAAGTTTGTAAATGGAAAACTGCATTTTGGCACGAATATTTTAGGGGGTGTGCGGGGAGGATGTCGGGGGTTACGCAGTAAAATTCAAGAGAAATAAACCGCACAAAATTATGCACATAAAGCTCGGCCAACTTTCCACTTTTCCCCCAAAACTGATGAGCATTTCCAAGGCACGCACTTGTCTGTGTTTCGTTTCTATTACTACTTTTTTTATACCGCCGCTCATTGTTTACCAAATATGTCTTAAATTGTTTGCTTTCATTGCCGTTTGCATAATAATCGAAACGATGCAGATTCATCGTCTGTGGTCATGGATTTCTGTGCCCTTTGTCTGATATATTTTCCACCAGCCTCATCTTTTCTCCGCCATCGTCTCACGCTGAGTGGGCGATAAGCGAAACGTGATTGATTGAAGACAACACGGGAGAAAAGAGATATGACAGGTCTGGGACATCGACTGGGGGGCTATGGTTATGGGTAATGGGTCTGGGTCTCTCGGGGGTCTGGCCTTTATCAGTTGCCCCCGTTGTAGGTGATTTATCACAGGTTTTCGGGTCCCACAAGATAAGCAACAGCTGCAGATACTGCTCACAGGTAATTGCAAACTTGAACTTTGCGAATTCGTGTTTTCTAATCTGGGTTAAAAGTGATTTGAAAATAGATTTATGTTCAGGTTTTTTGTTTTTAGTTGTCAAACATTGTTCTATCTGAAATTCTAGAAAGAGTTTAGCTATCGAGTGAGATTTAAGCTACTCAGCTTGCACTTAAATTTATACAGGCAGCTTAAAACCAAATTATGATACTTTAAGTTGCTTTCTTTTTTATAGGTTATTTTCATAGGTTCGAAAAGAATACATTTTTTATTGCCACTTTTTTAAGCTTAAATAGCGAGTGAGTGAAGGTTATTACCACAATAAAAACAATTATTCTTTCATGACGATGACACTTCTTTCTTATTTATGTCTGTTTCCGAGTGTTAAAAGTTCAATTTCCTCTGACACCCTTCTTTTTTCTGAAGCTTCTCTTTTGCAAAATAAATAAATAAGTCAGAAAACCCACCAATGATCATTTCTTTCGTTTTTTGCCAGTAAATCATCGGCTTGTTGTTAATTTTTCACCTCTCTTTCTACAGACGTCGTGCCGTCTCTTTCTTTGCCTATCTTCTTTTTTTCGTGGTGCGTCAAGTTGGCACGACAGGCGGCGGGAGAAAGTTTTTCTTTTTCTTTGCCAAACTCGAGAAATAAAGCCAAAAAAATTAACGCCAAAATATAAAATACAAACAAAGGCGAGCAAAAAACGCAACAAAGCTGTAAAGTGTGCAATGAAAACATGTGATTATATATCCATGCACACAAATGCGACTTATATAAGATATTGACTGAGGCATTAAAAACGCATAACAATTAATAGTGTAGAAAAACAATCAGCGACATCAAATGAATCAAAAGTAGATGACACTCTTCGATATCTGCAGCAAAAAAACATAACAACTCCCCACGTTGAATTTGAATGGGGGAAAATGCCTGAAGACTTGTTTGCTTTTGTTTTTTGTTTTTTTTTTTAGCCACCAGTTTTGTTCACAAACATTCCACGCATGGCCATCAAAGTAAATTACTTAATTTATGCCACAAATGTGTCGTCGAGCAGGGCGGCACTTTCTACCGCCCCAACTAAACGCGGTTCTTGCGTAAGCGACTTTAAACGCATGCAAAACGCGTGCAGCGAAAGCAGGGCAAACATTTGAGTTACATCAGATTCCCAATGACCCGGGGTCATTCGAAATTAACTGATAAAAGCGGGCGGGCACAGCTCAATTTTTGGACTTTGCTCCCCGGCAAATCAATACCAAATTGTAAATAATTGAGGCAGCCAAAGCCCAAGGTCTGACCCTCATTATTGCTTTATCAGCTGGGGAAAAACGAAGAAAAGGGGGAGCTGCACTTCTGACATTCTGCAATTTATGAGGGGAAAATGGAAAATTCTCAAGTGCCAGAAGACCCCAAAAACAGAAAGAGAAACTTATTTCAAATTCAAAAATTCCCAATTCTATTTTTAAAGGCCAGGAGAAATGCGTTGCCTAGTTTTACTATTTATCTTCGTTTCAGAAAGCAGAAGGGGATTTCAATTAAGAAACATATTCAAGTAGCTAATAAATAAATAAATCTCTATCTCATGGATATTGATCAACAAGAGAATTCCATTAACCATTAAAGCTGAAAGAGATGTTTTTTTTCAGCTCAGAGCTGTAATGTTAATTCAATTATATTCAGTAAAAGTAATTTACTTTTTCGAGCCGGAAAGGCGGGAGAAAGAAGGAAGGTGGAAAATAAAAAATGAAAGCGTTCTTAATTGCGAACGACGACACGTCAGTTGTAATTTTTTTATGTACATAGCTATTTTCTCCTACGCCCGCTTCAATATTTATGGGCATGGAATGGAAATATCTGTTCAGGATCCTCGCAATCAAATTGGAAATTTATTTGCGCATGCGCAGCGGCTGGCACGCCACAAACAATTGGATTTTAGTAAATGTACATACTCAGTATATCTGCATGCGCAGCCGCGTGAGCAATGTGTATCTGTATCTGTATCGGTTAA